CAATTTGGATTATCTGAATAATCAGATACAGATAAACAGATGACAGATTTATCCAGATTAAAACTCTATCCAAAACAAAATAGTCTATAGGCATGCTACTTATATAATACATCTCGCTCTGTTTAAACTAATATTTGGATATTCTGAAATATTTCAAGTAAAAAATCAAACAATATAAAATTACAAGAAAAAATTTAAACAAAAATATGAAATATTCTAGAAGATGATTCAATTATATTATAGCATACCAATAGTATGCCTATAGTATAATATAGCATAAATTTTGGCTAATAGCATATCATATAGTATGCCAAATTTTTTTGCTATACTACACATCCTATCTTCTACAAAAGTTATAATTATTAGATGAATAGGCTAAAAAACTTTAATTTAAAAATTAATTTTAAATCTTTATTTATTCTTAGAATTTGTTATTTAGCATATAGCATATTCAATATTTTTCAACATTATGAGTATAATGTAATAAATTCATTATCTTTTTCTTATAGTTTGAAATTTCTCTTAAGAAACCACCTAATAGGAAGATATTCTTTATAAAAATCTATCTCTTTATTAACTCTAAACCTAATTATAACTGGCAATAATAATAAAAATAAAATACACAAAGTATACTAATATATCTTTAACTAGATTTATTCTTGTGATAAATTCAAACAATTGCGATATACCTTATGAAAGATGATATCATCTTCACACAAATTACATAATATAATCTTGTCTCTTATACAAAGTAAATTTTTAATAAATATAAATCTAAGTTTTAAATTTCGGTAATATTTTCTGTAAGATATTAGTGAGATATTAGATATTAATTTATCTGATAGATTACTAATATTTGATGCATATTTTACCTATCAGCAGAATATTGGCTTTTAATAGACTTATTAGATATACAGTATAATACTTTTAAATAAAGTATTATATATCTGATAGGCCTATTGAAGGCTAATATTCTGTTAATAGGTGAAGATATATGCCAAATATCAGTAAGCTATTAGATAAATTGGCATCTAATATCTTACTGATATTTCACAAAAATGTTACTGAAATTTAAAACTTGGATCTGTGAAAGTCCTAGCAATTAGTAATTTATTAACATAAAAAAGATTAAAGCTGTCATCAAAATCTATAATCTGCTGAATGGTCTTGAATAAAATTGCTTCACTTTGCGTAAAGTTATAATTTGTAAAATATATGCTAGTTTTGTCTTGTGCAAGATATATCTTTAATAGTAATTGTAGTCAGTTTGGTGTTAGTTAATAAAATCAACCTAGTCAGACTAATTTTTTAAAAGATCGACTTAGTTGAGGATTCTGTATATTTAAACAATATTAGAAAAAGCATTAAATTTGTTAGATTAATAAATTTGTGCCAATTACAAATACTAATCTCTAAAATTCTCATTATTTGGTTAGATATTATATACATATTATTTTAAAATATGGCTATTGGATAGTTTTTTGCAGATAAATTTGTCTGCAAAAATTTATATTTAAAGAATATTAAATTACTATAACATATTATTTATTATATATAAATTATATTTTAAATAAAGAACCTAATTAATTAATTTAAGTTTAAATCTATATTATATTATATATTTTACAATTTAGATTCACACTATACCAAAAAACTTTTAAAAATATGTAATTTTTTTACTAATATTCACAATATTCTTAAAAATGTAAGAAATTAAATTTCATAAAATTAAGACAATCAGTAACTATAGCTATTTGTGAATAATTGATATAATAATTCTTTTTTATAATATTTAGTAATCTAAAAGTCTATATATTCTTTATGATATATAAACAATTGTATTTTTATTGCATTCAATAGTAAATAAGGCAGGTTAGTAAATATGAGATGAAACAATATGATATAAATTTAATATTCAATATTTATATACCCCTATTATTAGTTGTAAAGAATTTTTCAAGAATTAACTCTTTAGTTAAATCTATATCTCTGAACCTTATAACCTCTTTTATACTATCACTATTTCTCTAGTTCATCTAATTTGTTATTGCAAAATTTAACACAGCAGTTATTAGTTATTCATCAAGTTTATTCTGACTCAACAATAAAATTTTATATCAATTGTTATAATCTATTAGTTCAATCATTTGATCAGCTGTCATCGAATTAAGTTAATCAAAATTCAGCATATCAGCTTTAGTATAAATCTCTTTTATTAAATTAAAGCTTAATTTCTCTTTGAGTTTTCTAGATTAAAGGTAAAGAACAATAGACTGAAATGTATTATATAGGAATTTTTGCATAATAATAGTTTTTATATATTCTTTAAGCTATTCTTTATCTAACAAATGTTCAAAATAATTTAACTTTGTTATAAGAATAATTCAATAAACTTTAATACTTAATCTACAGTCAAATACAAATTCTATATTATAAAAATGATTTTTATCAAAGAATTTTTTGAAACCTGATATACTGGAATAAAACTTGTACTATTTTCTTCACCAGAGGATAGGTAGTTATCAAAATTTTAAACTTGTACTATCAAGTTCATTTTAGATATTATTGTATCATTAGGATACAAGTCTTTAATACCAATAATTTATATGAAACTATAATCTGCATTAACTCTGTTAAATTCAAATTTTGTTTTCAAAATGTGATGATTAATAATAAGAATAGGTGTTTGCACTATAATCAATTGGCCTTAATTTAATCAGTATAAAGCTAATCTGAATTTTTTGTACCTGCTAATTATACTGTTTTGCTTTTTATATTGTGTTTGAATAGCTTTAATAGGTGAACATTTATTTACTTACATTGTCAACACCAATTATCAAAAATCAACAAAAAAATCTCTCAAAATAGATAAATAAAACTCTAAAATATCTTAAAGATAGAAAGATATAAAGTTATTCAACTTTTTATCAACACTATTTAGGAACATTTTTAGGCTATAAGTAATTAGTGTTGTTATTGCTATTGAGGTTAGAAATACAACTTTGAACAACATTAATATTAACTATTTTCCTAATCTGTTCTTATGATGACCAAAACCTTTCACTATAAAAAAAGAATCTATTAGAATGTCTAGAAACAGTTTATTTTCTAAGCAAAGATGAAATAACTATTTTCTATTTGTAAAAAATTGTTTAGGTCAAAAGTCTTTGCATTTCTTTGTTTATAAAAAAAAAGTTTAACATTAAATTTCATATGCCTTTCAATTATAGTGTTACACATGTACAAGAACAATGATTTTTTGTGACAGAGTTATAAATTTTATGGTGAGATAAGGTAAATTTTGTAAATTATATTGTGCAATTAATTTGAATTTTGTAAAATTTTGCGATGATAAGTAAAATATTTTTATTTATATAATAAAAACTTTAAAAATATAAAAAAATATTATTATATAAAATATAAAAAAATAGTTATAAAATTTCTATAAAAAATTTAATCTATCATTATCTAAAAGAGTAAAAAAAAGCTATATTCAACAGTACAATTTGGGTAACCAAATATAATTAAGTACAATTTGAGAAAGAATAGGTAACTGAGTTGCTAGATTATTCCAATATACATCCAATTTCTCTTCATTATTATCAAATTCTGATCCACAATAAATGCATATATATATTTAAAAAAAAGAATTTTGCTAAAGATCACCACAGGTGAACAGAAATTTAGAGTTAGAATTAGGTAGGATTTGTGTTAAAAACTTTTAATTAGTGCATAAAGATTCATTAACATAGTAAAAATATCTTGTTATTGATGTTTTTTGGCTTTTTTTCTTAGTTTTGGTTATACAAGATCCTACGATTTGATTGGTTTATCATATGAGCGGTGAGATCGAATTTTGTAAAATTTTGTGGCGAAACTATGCAAATTTGTGATTATCACAAAATTTTGTGATATTTTGTGAATCACAATATATCATCGTCCCTGCACGCGTGTGGTAATCTAACATTTTATAATTTTTATCATCGTGGTCAATATAAGCATTACCAACAGATGTTTTATGATCTGAATCTTCCTCGACTTGACTTAGTCAATCAAAATGAACTCCGCGCAAGAACAGACATGCTTATAAAGCGTAATTTGAAAATATAGTTCTTATTAACAAGATTTTCTGTAGACAATTAATGTCGCTCGAATAATGAAGTGCTTTACAAACTTGCAGTTGGTTACCATGTTGTAGCATATAATCACGTTGTCACCGGAAAATTATCTCCTAACAAAGTGAGTGATGCTATGTGCTTAATTTTTTTTTTTTTTTTTGTAATAATTCATATTAAAAGACATTCAACGCGAAAGATAAACCTTGCCGATATTTCCGATAAAAAATCCAAGATCGAACAATTAACACGTTTAACATACGTTGTTGAAGATATAAGCCAAAATCATGGATTGGTTTGTGATATTGTTTCATTTTGGTGGTCCTTTTCCTCTTTCAATAACTAATACCTAAAATCAAAATTTTTTTTTTTTAAAAAAAATAAAAAAGACCTCATCAAATAGTACACTTGCATCATATGACATTCTTGCAGTTCGTCCAACGAACGAAAAAGCATTTCTAAATGCCTGTAGTACACTTGAAATAGATATTATATCACTTGAAATGGGATCACGATTGCCATTTTATTTAAAGCATAGTACAGTGGGATTAGCTATTGAACGTGGTATATTCTTTGAAATCTCCTACGCCCCTGCTATAAGAGGTAGTAGGCTTTACTGTTGCATTATATTGCTCAAATGTTTTCATGGGTAGTAGAGTTATATCAGTTTCGAATTAATCATTAGATTCTACATCTCGCCGTCATCTTATATCAAATGCGCAAAACCTAGTAAGAGTATCACGTGGAAAAAATATTATTATTACAAGTGAAGCGCAAAGAGCAATGGAATTGCGTGGTCCTTATGATATTGTTAATTTGTAAGTAAAAGCATAATAAATAATTGTTTCAACGTTTCTAATTATTTGGATTTTCAGAGGTACAATCATGGGTATGAATCAAGCCATAGCCAAAGAATGCATAACAACAAATTGTAGAGCTGTAGTAATACATGCTGGTGAGTGACGAAGTTTAATAATTGTGGGGGCCGATGCTGAAATCGGATGATGCTGAAAATTGGGGTCTCTTTTTAAATCTATAAAACCTACTAAAATTCACATATACTTTTTTATTAATAAATACTCCTAACCTAACCTAACTATACTATCAAAAAGGCCCTAAAAAATTTTATAATTTTATAATAAATTATGAAAAATTTTCAGCATCAGCCCCCACAATAATTGTGCATAATATATTATTGCAATTAAGTTGATGTTTTGATCTTACAGCAACACGTCGAAACACCCATAAAGCCGTTGTTTCTTTTGAACCAATTACTTCATTGAAACCAAACGAACTATGGAAGGTTGGAAAAGATAAAAAATCGCAGCCACAAGGTAAATCAAATAAAGCAAAGCGAATGAGGCCGAATACTGATGATGAGGAAGAGTCGGAATCTTTCCAGTCGCAAAGCATGGATATGTGAAAACAGATGAAAGGACCAAGAAATCAATCAAATAAAAAATAAATGATCCCGTTTGTTTCTTTTTTCAGCATTGCTATAAACTCTGACATATTTACAGTGAATTGGATATAAGAATTATATGTCAGCAAGATAAACTTATTAAATCGATAAATTCTGAACATTGCGTTTTTCTCAGTTGTGTCTAGCGATCTTTTGGGTTTTCTTCATTTTTATCAGCCAGCCAAAGGAACAAAATTTTCATCATTTTTATAACATATATTTAGTTCTATAAATAAGCTTTAAAAAACTCACCGTATGCTAGTATGATCATATTGATATCTCACAACCTGAAAGAAAAGCTGTTATTACGTGATAGGCAAAAAGTAAAGATAACAAATGATACGCCTTTTTATAAATTTAAAGGCTCCTTGGGTAACCCGCAGGTGATCAAATTTTTCTATAAAAATGCACTATCGATCAATCTAATAATACAAGAAATCAGAATTAGGTAGAAGTTCAATATAATTTTTTTTTTTATCGCCGACAATTTCTGCTATTATATAGATCTCGTGTAACCTCAATGCTGCTGATCATTAATTCGAACCGTCTCGTCGAGACGAATCGAATGGCTAAATTTGGATCACTAGATCACGAGATAATTACATTTAACTAAAATTTTAAAATATCTAATTATCTCGCTAACCAATAGTCCGAATTTGATGATTTTGGTGTCATTCGATTCGTCTTGATGAGATGGTTCGAATGGTGACTAAAACATTAAAATTGGATCTCTGGATCACGAGATAATTACATAAACCTATCTATAGCACAATTTTTTAAAATTTTAAATTTTATTATATTATAAATAGTTTTTTTATAAATATCTTGCAATCCAGTGATCCGATTTTAATGTTTTTGACACCATTAAAATCATCTCATCATGATGAATTGAATGATACCAATCCTTGTTGCACCATTAATATGTATGGTTAAAATCAATACATGTGGTTAGGATAATCTCTATTTTAAAGAGACATTGTTATTAAATTGTTATATTGGTAAAACTATATTCTATATTCTGAAGTATTATATCATATTATATCTAGCTAAACTATATTTTCTGTATTACTTATTTTGCAATTATACAATTTTTAAATTAATAATTTTCAAATTATAGATCTTTAGTTTAATATATTATATTATTGTTTTTTCTAAAGTATTTTGATATTGGTCTAGAATCTGCAAAAATTTATATTTCAAGCTAGAAACTATTATCTAGTTAGATTCACCACATAATAGAGTTGGTATTTTATTATCAAGTATTTTTTTATTTATTTACACAGATACTATTAATTTATATTTTAAATCAGTTTTTATTATTATAGTTCAACTGCAAATACCTTTAATTTTAATATTAGGAGAACATTAGAAATTAGCTAATTTCCTAGAGAAAGGATTCAAAAAAATTAAAATTATATATAAAAAGTATATAAAGACCTTGTTAAAATTAAATTAGCTAGGGTGTAGCAACTTAGTGAAGTTGGTAGGTTGTTGCACCCTCAAGCAGCAAGATCAAAGTTCGAATCTCACTGGTGATAAAATTCGAATTTACGGAAAATGCATTTGGAAGACTGTATCCTATTGGGTCAGCACCTGTAACGGGGTCATACCAGTACCGTTATATTAGAAGGTAGTGAAAATACTGTGTAATGTATAAGTTGCACAACAGTGAAGCTGCCAGATAAATCCAGTGGATTGGGATACAGAAGCCTGCTTGGCAAGATCCAAGTAGAGAGGTAGCACAGATCTTTGACAGTACTACTTGATAATCTAAAAAGGGAAACTGAATGGCAAAAAAAGGTGAAACCGAATAGTAGGAAAAGGGAGAACCAAACAGCAGGAAAAGGGGAAACCAGACAGGACCAAAGTGTTCAGCAAGGCACTTCACCAACCAGGCCACTGGCTGAGTAATCAGAGAAAAAGAACCCAATTGTAGGTACCAAGGGCAGATCACAGCTCTTCCGGGCTATCTGGATTGGAAGTCTGGTGAACTGGAAGTAGGGCTTAGTTTGGAAAACCAGAAGTAGGGCTTAGTTTGGAAAACTGAAAGTATGGGTTGTTAAAGTGTGTACCAGGGTTTGGGTGAACTCTATAAAAGCACAGAGTAGGTAATAGTAACAGCTTTGGCTCACAAGTACTTGTCTTTGGACTCGGCGCAAATTATCAAAAAATCTAGGCTAGCTGGATTGTGAGTATGGAAAGTTCTAGTAAGTTTATCTCAAGGATAACCAGCTGGTTGGTACTTTAGGTGGGTCATTACTCTGTATGAGATTGAGAAGGACATAGTGGTGCAGAGGGTTTAAATAGGTAATCTCATAGTTAGGTTGCAGGTATAGCATCTAGTATAAGAACCTTCGGGTGGACTACTTAAATAGACAACCAAAAGTTGCACATGTAGCTAGTTGTATCCTACAAAACCATGTACCAAATGAGTAGCAGTTGACTTAGTTTGGCTTAGCACATAAACCAATAAAAGCTTCTGATCAAGAGGTCACTTTGAAATTTAAAAAAAAAAAAAAAAATTAAATTAGCTAATTTATAATACTGTTCTTAAATAGTAACAATATTTTTTTTGTTTTTTTAAATACTATCTGTTATAATAGGTTTAGGATATATTTTACAAGTATATAAAATAATTCTAATTGTTTTCAAAAAGTTATACTAATTCTAGTAATACTATATTACTATAAAATACTTGTTTCTAGTATGTTATCATATAAAACTAAAATAATTTTGATTATATTTAAAGAGTTATATTAATATCAGTGATATTATATTACTATAGTCTGTTCTCTATATAGTTACTTTCTATATAATTACACCCTTTTATAAGCACATTAATTTTTCAAACAAATATATAAAATAAAAAAGATTTGATCTCTATACAGATACAATTTCTTATAAACACAGAATTTCTTAGAACTGAAGATGTAATTATAAAAAGATTAAATAGGATTTCAAATAATATTAATAGAAGTTATATTAGCTTTAATATAAACTTTTTACAAATTTTATCCAATATCTGCAAGTTTGATTAATTAAACCTTATTTTAATTAATCAAAGTTGCAAAAAAGTGAATAATATAGCAATATAACCTCTACTTATATTGTTCGAGATTTTGGTTAGACTATATTTGAATTATAAACTCCAAAGATTGGTAAATCTTAAACTTGTTTATTATAGACTTTTGTATAGATATAACTAGAGTTTAAAAATGTTACGGTCTTGCAAAAACTGTAGTTCAAACTGGTTTTTTAAACCAGTTTAAGCAGTTCTTGGTCCATAAATTGAGGTCTGGTTCAGACTGGTCCATATTACTAATGGCAAATCAAATAAGTTTCTGATGTTGTCTAATTCAGTAACTTATTAATTTTGACTCGATAACTTGTCAATTCAATTGTCTCATAATAGCTGTAAGTCAAAAATTTAAAATGAGTTACCAAATTAATTTTTAGATATAAAAATAAAAATAAGACAAAAAATTATATATTATAGATATTTTTATAAATTCTGAAATATCTGAAATTTGCTTGTCTCCTGAAACCTCATCGATTTTGTTTTAAGAATCTTTCAACTTTTCAAAAACTACTTCACTATCTCTATTGAAGTTCCAAACACAATGAAGTAATTTCTAAAAAGTTAGATAATTTTTAGAATGAGATCAAAGAGATTTATTTATAAAAACAGCTGTAAACAATGTTAATATAGTATGTTACAAACCAATATAAATTTGTTAAACATAAATGTAATAATACTATATTAAGTTTTTTATATATTACCAGACAATATTATAAACTCAATTATTAATATATTTACTGATCAACACAACAAAGTTATTATAAACTTAGGTCTTACTTTTTCATATCCAGTTCAAAATAGAATTAATCAAGGAGAAACTATTACCTCTTTACTTTGGAGAATTTACTACGACTCTTTAATTGCCTATATTCATTCTCAATTTTCAGAATATATATCTCAAACATCTTGAATCACAAATTTGAAAGACAAAACATTTAGTTATCTCAATACAAACTGTTCTGTTCTTGCCTTCATGGATAACACCTTATGGATAGCATCTTCTCAATCTGAACTTTTACAAATTCTTTTTATTGCAGAGTCTTTTTATAACATGGCTAATATCCAAGTTAACCTAGCTAAATCTATTCTTATTACAAATAATTCATCTTTAATAATTATATACTTTCATTACACTCACCTCATATACCCTTTAAGTTTTTAGGTTATTAGATTACACTTGATAACAAATATTCTTAGCAAATACAACTCATCATTAGTGAATCTTTACATCTTATTAAAATTGCCAGAACTAAACAAATAACTAATATTCAAGCCTACTATATTGTCAATACTGTCATTATTTCTACAATTGAATATTGACTTCAAAACTTGGTTTTAAGCCAAAGTACTTGCAAAAAGATCCTTTCACATCATATTGGACTTATTAAATATAAAGCTAAACTTAGCTGAACAATTTCTACTTCTACTCTTCTTTACCCTCAACTGTATAATGTTTGTAATATTTGGAATATTCAGTTATAACACCATATTACAAATTATACTAAACATCTTAATAATCAAGATTTACTAGGCACTAGTACACAGATTAGACTCCAACAGCTTCAAAACAACCTTTGATCTTCTACTAGTATTCTATTACATCCAAACCCAATAATAGATGGCTTTAATCAACATTCTACCAATTTTAAAATTATTTAGCTTTTTAAATATCTTGGATTGTCTATTCTATACAACTCTTCATCCTCTATACCATATACTACTGTATTATAGGTTCTACTTCACTTGAATCTATACTATCTTTTCACTCTAATTATACTACCTTTAAAAAACAACTTAGATATTATCATATTATGTTCTTAGAGCAGCTAACATCATTTGATAATTTTTGTCTTCTTGACTAGAAATATATTTTATCACAATT